AGGGAGAGGTAGCTGCCAGGGGCTGCCAAAAAGAGTGCCCGAAACCACCATTTAAAGGTGTTGATCCACGCCATGCATTCAACTGATCGAATGCCCAGTTCCAGATACATCGGAGCAAAGCCAACACAGGGAGGGAGACCCAAAAGTTTCCTTAAAAAAGCAGCCTGCGTTCTTTCAATACACTCCTTGAAGCCCTGTATCCATATCGGAATTCCATAAAGAGTTTGGGCCAAGGTTTTGGCTTTGTAAATACGCAGAGCAGAAGGAATAAATTGGCCACCTTGGGTATAGAAAAATCTTAAAATCTGCTGATGGCTACAAAAAGCTGAATTCAGCACCTGGGTTCGGTGTCTAGTCCAAGCACCAGTGTTCTGAAAATGTATACCTAAATACTTAAAATGGGAAACCTGCTTAACAGCATTACCCTTAATAGCCCAGTTGTGTAACTTCCGGGCACTAGAGAACACCAAGACTTTTGATTTGTCGTAGTTAATGGACAAGTGATTCTCAGCACAGTAGGACCCAAATGCAGAGAGAAGCCTTTTCAGGCCAAGCCTCGTCAGTGATAGGAGGACCGCGTCATCAGCATAAAGGAGAAGCGGGATCTTCGTTGTTGACAGCTTTGGGGTGTGAGACTCAATACATCCAATATAAGAGGCCAAATCAGATAAAAATAGGTTAAACAAAAGAGGAGCCAGGAGACAGCCCTGCCTTACTCCACTCTTTATCGGGATAGGGTTAGAGAGTTCTCCCTGCAAACTACACCTGACCTGACTAGAAGTCTGATTGTATAGGGATCTAATTAGGAACAACAGACGTCTGTCAATGGAGCTTTTGAACAATTTTGTCCACAACAATTCCCTTGGGATTGAATCAAATGCTGCCTTTAGATCGATAAAAGCAGTAAAAAGTTTACCACCTGGTATGGTGGCATATTTGTCAACCAGGTGCGCTAGGACAAAGCAGTGGTCCAATGTGGCACAGCCTGCTTTAAACCCAATCTGTTCAGCACCAATAATGTTGGACTCCTCGACCCAGGTGAGGAGTCTGTGTTGGAGATATTTAGCGTACAATTTCCCAGTGATGGAGAGCAGACTTATAGGACGATAATCGGCTGGGTTGTTCCTATTTCCTCGTTTAAAAATAGGGACAATAATTGCTTGGTTCCAGGAGGTAGGAATCCTGCCAGAGGTATTGATATGGGTAAAGAGTGTTGCTAAAAGAGGAGACCACCACTTCATAAAGAATGAATTGTTAAAGAATAAAAGAGAATAAATATGAATAAGCAGGAAAATTAGAATTTGAGGGTGAATGAAGATGTTGTTTATATAAGTAAGCAAAGAAATATTGAGATATGATTAAAAAAAAGGAAAAAAGAAAATTGTGGCAAAAATTGTAATTGAGTAAAATGTATTTGAATTTGATAAATTGTATAAGCTAAGATATAGCCAATACTCTGTTCAAAAAAGATGTGGGTGAATGGGGGGGGGAAACCAATAAAACTTGATTTTTAAAAAAAATCTCCATTCCCTCCCCACTCCTGGGGGAAGGATATTGCAAAATTTCCATTCCCACCCCACTCTGGGGCCAGCCAGAGGTGGTATTTGCCAGTTCTCCAAACTACTCAAAATTTCTGCTACTGGTTCTCCAGAACTTGTCAGAACCTGCTGGATTTCACCTCTGTGTAAGCCCCACCCCTTTCGTACATGAGCTCACATTACATAGACCTATATGGGTGTGAGGCAGCCTCAGTCATGTTGTGATGGCCACAAATGTGTCTGTTTTTTCAACCACTCCTGTGGTTGAAAACACCCCTGTGTTTTCATCAAAGGATAAAATAGAGCAGAGGGCTAAATAATGTTATGGATCTAAAATATTACTATGAGTAAGCGGGTAGTAACTTTTATCAACTGTGTACATTTTGTCTATGAGAACACTTTGGGATTTGTTAATTGTATTACTTCCCTATTTAGCAGAGGGCTAAATTGTATTACTTCCCTATTTAGCAGAGGGCTAAATAATGTTATCAATCTAAAATATTACTATGAGTAAGTAGGTAGTAACTTTTATCAATTGTGTACATTTTGTCTATGAGAACACTTTGGGATTGTGCTGCTCTGTTAATTGTATTACTTCCCCATTCAAATTTATTCAGGTAAATTGCCTGAGTAGAGAAAGGGGGAAAGAAGCTGAAAACTTCTGATTTTTTTTAAAAAAAATCATTTTGCTCATTCTTGTTTGATCACCTTTTCTCCAAATCCATATCATTTTATCTTTATCGTTCCTTAACTTTTATTTGTCTGACCTCTAGTCCCCTGTAAAGCCAGTTTGCTTACATTCTTCAGCTTTGTCCTCCCTCTCAATCTTCCCATTTTTCTCACAATTTTTATCTGCTTTTTTCTAGTACTTGTCTCTTCGTTTTAAACTGATTCTTCATTCTTTGAATATGCTGAAATAATATACTTGGTATTATTGTATAACAAATAATTTATACTGTATTATGATACAATCTGGAATTTTAATAATACAATATTTTCATACTTTTAAAAAAATAATAAGACACTAAGAATTCTGTCTGTACTTGAAGTTTATGGAGTTATGACAGGAACTGGATCTATTTATGTTTTTTATGCCCTGTAATCCAATATCAGAGCTGGTCTTAGAAGTGATGTTAAAAGTTGTCATGTTTTTGTAGTTCAGACGTTCATGTACATTATGGTTTTGATGTCTTAAATTTATGCCTCATCTCATCACCCACATTAGACTAAGTTGCCCCCAAGATGCTGTTCAAAAGGCAACTGAACTTTCTTGGTTGTTTTCCTTGAAAACGTTTTACTTCTCATCCAAGAAACTTCACCAGAACTGAGAACTGAAGAAGCTTCTTGGATAAGAAGCAAAATGTTTTCAAAGAAAAAAACCCAAGAAAGTCCATTTGCCTTTTGAACAGCATCTTTGGGACAACCATGAGCTGGATGATTGAGAATCTCCACAGACATTAGGCTAAGATCTTTACACCAAGGAAGGTGGTATTTAGGTGGAAGAAACAGGAGAGACTGTCATGAATAGATCATCTCAAAGTCACTGTTTTATGTGACAACTCCCTAGCAGAAGCAATGAGATAATTTAAAAGATCTGTCCTTGGCAATTTCTCAATGCATAGAATTTCAGAATTTGCTAATGAGGAAGCAGATAAATGTAAATTAGCAAAATCTGAAATACTCAGGTATGTTTAATTTTCCCACATTCATCAGGTGTGCAGGTTTGCCTGGTGGGCTTCTGTCTGGATATAATCTAGTCATGGTAGAAGATTGGATGATTGGGGAGACCTAATACATACGATAAAGAGTATCTGTTGTAGATGGATATTCCCCCCGCTTGTGAAAGAGCAGGTATGCAATCTTAAGGTCTTCTTTGACACTATGTTGGGTTTGACTTTGCAGATCAATGTGGTAGCAACAGGTAGCAAAAGCAGTCTTTTTCCAGCTGTGAATGCTCCATCAATAACACCTTTTCCAGAAAAGATCTGACTATTAATGCTCATTCTCTTGTTCCCAGTTAGACAGTTCTAATCTTGTACTTGAAGATTCAGAAATTAAGCTGACAGATATGTCAGATATTGACTAGTAGCACTTATTCTAATTCTAGTTGTCAAGGCAGATTAATGGATTAATTTTAGATTGCTTATTATAATAGACAAATCCTTGGATAGATAAGTAGATAAGTCCAGGGTTTGCGCCGTTTATCTGCAGAATCAGTTTTCCATAAGTTAAAAACTTACACAGTAGCTCCAATAAATCTCACTTTATTGCAAGTATTGGAATCAACTAGGGCAAAAGCTTGATGTTGTTGTTGTTTTGGTGGTACCTTCCCTTATGATCTCTGTTCCTAGAGATCCAGACTGCTCCATCTTTGGCCTGTTTTAAGAAGTAATAACTAAGAGTACAATCATTTTTATACTCAAACTTTCACCTTCTAAGAGTTTTTATATTGGATATTTTTATTGCTTTGTGGATTTTATAAACTCTTTTGATCTTGTTTGGTATTATATGATAGCTGGATTTTATTTATGATAACCATTGTGGTTGGTATTATTGGAGTCTTCAGTTTATAAACAGACAAAACTCCATCACAGATAAAACCATCGTGTTAATCAAGTTATCTTAAAGTCAGCATATTGTAGGAGTTGCGCCTATCTCTTTATGGGCAGCATATAGGGGAATTCCATGACCATAAATGCAAATTACTTTCAATTTGAACAAATTTCAGTAGATGTTATGCTAGCTAGAATGCACCTATTCCATCTTGTCTTAATTTTTTATCTGCTCCCTGCCAAAGTCCCTGGTCAATCATGTTATATATCTGCATATCTAATTTCATCAACCAGGTAAACTGAGTTTCCAGTGTGTCCAAGAGTGCCTTTTTGAATGCATTTCTATGTCCAATTCATCATATATCACAACACACTTGTTAATATAAATTCATAATAAACGGAAAAATAATAAATTGGGTTATGCAAATTACTTTTGTACAGAGATTCCATTGCAAAGAAGAGAAAAGTCAAGGCATGAATGTTTCAAACAGAAAAAAAGCTTCCCACTCTTCAAATCTCAACTTATTCTTCAGATAAAATTCAGGTTGTATTTTGGATAGGAATTGAAATTATATAACAACTATTATTTTTGAGTCCTGTGAACATTCAAGAACATATTGTGGCATAAGTTTTTAAACTACAATTCACCACAAAGTTATGGGTTGAGTTTAAGATTTCCCTGCCTATACATGTGACTGTATTTACCTGCAGAGACAATAAACTAGCAGCTATACAAATTTGAAGTCTTATGTTATTAACTTTATATCCAAAACAAATACTGAAAAATACATGGGTATTCATTGGATACCAATTCTGATAACAAGAGAGATATAATGTATATTCTGATATTAAACTAAGTATTTTGCAGGTAAGAAATTATGGATTAATATGTTCCCATTGATCTTTACAGGTAAAGAAAATAGCAGCTGAATATTATGACACCCTACCTCAACACCAGTCATGGGTTCTTGTTCTCTGGGACTTTATTTTTGATGATAACATCAGTCCTTATTCAAGGGTTAAAAGAAAGTGTAAATTGGTTTCTAAATTTTCCTAGATTGCAACTCCAGCTTTTCCTTCTGGACTTCTGTACCTTGAAAATTTTTCCCTCGCAAACATGAATGATTCATTGGATGAAGTGTCTTAGGAAGATGTAGCTGATGTATCTTTCTGAATACAAAGGATTGTCTTAAATCCAAATATGAAGAAATATGCAAATGAAGTTAACGAAAAACCTTTTTCTTTAGTACTGTGCAATGCAAAACTCAGAGGCGGTCAGAGCATGGAGGACCCTGAATTTATAGATTTGGAAAGTAGAGAAGAGAAAAATAGCTAGTTCTGTATATTTTGACTAATTAAAGTATATGGCTAAGAAGTCTGATATTGGGTACAATAGACCTCTCTCCATCTTTGTAGATCAGGACTGTCAAACTTCCGGCCAGCAGGCCAAATGTGTCACGCACTGGCCACGCCCATGCCCGTTTTAGTGAAGGGGAAAAAAGTTCCAATATGGCACATGATGATGCCGTGGCAACTTGAGTTTGATACCCCTGCTGTAGGTAGATAGGGAATTTTTCAAGTAGGGGAAGATGGAAGATCTCCGTGTAATTAACTTTTAAGTAATGTGCAAGTATGTGGGAATTCCTCATCTCATACTATTGTGATGAGCAATGGTTCTGAGAGCTATAAAAATTATCCATCTAGACCAGAGGTTCTCAGGAATTCTGGGAGTTGAAGTCCACAAGTCATAAAAGTGCCATTGTTTCCCATCCCTGATCTAGACAGAGAGATTTGCCAATGCATATTAGTTGCAATAATTAAATCAGACCTCCACACTGCTACAGGCAGATTACAAAGTACCCAGCAGTGTATATTTAAAGTGATTGAATATTAGGCAGCTCTGTTTATGACTTTAAATTATTTAAAGAGAAAGCCCATATGTATCTACCTATAAGTAATCTCAGTAGAAGTTAATACAATCATCAAGGTAAATAGGTTAGGATTGCAGCTTAAAATGGATTGTGGCAAGTATATTTTTAATACAGTTATGTGCAATTGTGGAAATAACACAGCCTGATAGCAGTGAATATAGTTTGTGTGCTTCAGTGCTTGATATTCCTAATTACATAAAGGGCAGTAGTTAATATTGGAAAGACCTCTGAGAAAATGTTCTAAGCAGGGTGAATGATACTAGTTTGGATGGGAAAATGGCAGACTAATTTATAACTTATTTTTACCTACCTGATTTTCCTTTTTTTCATTTCTTTTTAGGCTACTACAAATGTTATTAGTTTCCAGAGGGGTTAAGCATGTTATTTTAGTGCAGCAAAAAACCAACAAAATTTGTGTTACCTTAAAGATGAATGCATTTATTATCACATAAGCTTTCATGGACTACAGTCTGCTTCCTTAGATGCATGGTTCATTATTCTGAAATTTATATTATATACTCTTGATATGACAACTCACCCCATCCCCCCACCAAGAAACAAACAAAAAACACAACCCCAGCAGTCACATAGCTCCTGAAGTGTGAAATTTGAGGTGCTTCCACATTAAAAGAAATCAGTTTTCAAAGGAACCAAAAAACTTTATTAAAAAAAAACCTAGCCAGTGCTCCATTTATTCTTATCTAGTACCACCCCACCCCCCGTTATAACCACGTTGTAAGTTATTAAGCAACATGAGATGCACAGTATTATTACTTCTTTCTAATCAGCAATGGAAGTTTTATAGTCCAAGGCAGGTAAAGAAATAATATATTCAGGACATAAATGTTAGGCTTGGTCATTGACTTTCCCATAGAGTGAAAGTCTGAGGAGACTTTTGAGGGTCCTGCTGAGGAGAAACCTCCATATAATTTCAAGAGAAAAGAGTTTCAAGGATACTAGCAAAATTTTTTGTGTGGGTTCCACATAACTCTAGTGGTTTGCTCAAGCCAACATACATTTAAGCCTAAGCAAAGTAAAATAGTTTGCTATTAGTTATCACACAGTATTTATGACAAAATATTGGATGACGTGTTATGGGGAGATCTATTCAGTGCAAACTTGTTTTGGGAGAAGAATACTAGTAATTCTGAATATAACCACTATATACAGAAGACATGCTTAAAAATGATGAAAGACATTTTGTCTTTGGAGTTGTTCTATTCTCCAGTCTAGGTCCAGTGATTTGCAGCCATCAATTTTGTAAATTGATATATTTCATACAATAGCCAAGAGATGTAAACATGAAAATGTGAATTTTCTATTTCTCTAACTGTATTTCTGGTAGCACCACCAGAGGTCAGATAAAGACCTGGTTTACACAATATGGAAACCATAATAAGATTTCCTTAATTTGGTATAACGTCTTGTGTGAATTCGGACAATTCAATAAACCATGGCTTCATTCAATGTGTAAACATAGTCATAGCCATTTCCTTTGGAATGCCATAGCTGGTCAAGATTGCCAAATTGGCCATCCCTGTTGTTAATAAGTAGAAAAGTATATATTATGAGCCCAAATCTATTGCAAGAATGAACTGAAAGAAAAGCCAATCAATGCCACAAATGCCACATGGACAATGAACAATTTATTACCAGTATGAGCACAGATGCTGTGATGCACTGATGTACCGCTTTAATATTGTGGTAGCTTTGAGACCAGGGACTTCCTGGCTGACAGCTGGCATCTTCTGGCCTCAAGTACTGATGCCATTAATAAGATTCTGTTGGCAAAAAGGTTCTCATTTACACTGCAGACTACCAGTAAAATTATTTTGAAGTCATCTAATAAAAGCAAATGGATCACATGTTTCCTTACCTACAATATACTAAAAACAAAAATGTCATACATTTAAATAAGCAAATACAAAATACAAAAAGGCTGACCAAATCTGATGTGCATTATCAGATGAATTTTAAAAATCCAGATAAATTTTTAATATTTTCCATTTCAAAGATTTTAAGACTTTTTTCTTTCTTTTTTAAATGAAGCAAATCCAAGGCAGTAGCAAGCTTCAAAGTCTGCTGAGTCTGCTAATAAAAAGGATTTTAAAAACAAAAGATGCTGTCAGGTGTCCTCTTTCACCATTCTGCATGATCTTGGTACACTTAGAAATGAACCATCACTTGTCATGTCCCTTGCAACTTCCAGAGGGCCATTCTTGTGGCCATTATGTTGTGCTGATTCGACTCAATTCTTGCCTGATGGCTGAAAAACAACAACAGGAAGCAAATAAGATGTAAGCCAAGGCTTATTACAAAAGACAAGATAACCACAATCTCACGCCTAATTTAAACTCCATCAAATATTTCATGAGGATTGGCTGAAACAGCAAATACAGAAGCAGCACTGAGAAAATAAGGTTGAGCAGATTAGCTCCTGGTAAAATTCAGACGACACAAGCACCTTGGTGGCCTGGAGTTTCCTCTTTGCTGTCTGCTACACATCAACCTTATGGGTCTCGAATGTTCAAGTTTGGATTTAGATATCAAATAGGTAAACACTCTGGTATATTTCCTTAGGGTAGCAGTGCAAAGTAGGTAGTATGTGAGACAAGCCACCCTCCTTCCACACTAGGAAAGAGGTATCACCTTTGTATGCCAGTTGAGTAGAAAGCCTGTCCTGTATTCTGACATCTCAAAACATAGTGACAGCAAATTTACTTTCACTGTTTTATTTTAAATAAGAATTGCCTCTATCACTTTTTATCAAATCCACATCTGGCAGTTCTTCAACCCTGTAACATCCCATTCTGGTTTATGCTTTTATAGCTCCCTAACTTCTGAAAAGCATCTATATAAGCTGTAACATTAATGGTGGCACCTAACTAACCTTAGTTGATCTCAAAAGCTAAGCTTGACTACACCTGGCTTACCTGGACAGGAGACGGTCAAGAAACTTAAAAAAAAAAGCATTGGAAGTCAAACCATGTTTGTAATGTTGCTACAGAAAACTACACAGATATGCCCAGTTTAAATATGGCAGAATATATTTTTACTTCTCTTTATGCCAAATCCTGAGTCCAGTTGACAAGTTGAAAGGCAATCTTTCATTCTGTGTTATCTTGGAATGGAATCTGTTTTCCTCTCCAATAACCCATATTGAATGTGAGTTTAAGGCAGAGGTCTTCAAACTTGGCAGCTTTAAGACTTGTGGACTTCACAATTCTCTAGCCAAAGTCTTACAGCTGCCAAGTTTGAAGGCCTCTGGTTTAAAGTATACCTAAAGCTGCTACAAGAACAAATATAGACATAGGAGAGGAGCCTGGTTTCCATGTTTTGTAAAAGTTAACTGAGCATGTTTACTGGGTGTGTAAATCATTAAAGATTTTCAGATCAGGCTGGAATAAAAAACCCACACTGCTTCAAGTGTTTTCTACCTGACTTCTCTGGGAATCTGAGCCTAATAGCAGTTAAATGGATATAATCCTGACAGGGTGGACAATCTCTTGCATCTTTCACATACACCAAAGTTGTTAGTTGCGAAGTTGTGTCCGACCCATCGCGACTCCATGGACAATGTTCCTCCAGGCCTTCCTGTCCTCTACCATCCCCCAGAATCAATTTAAGCTCACTCCGACTACTTCAATGACTCCATCCAGCCACCTCATTCTCTGTTGTCCCCTTCTTCTTTTGCCATCAATCGTTCCCAGCATTAGATTCTTCTCCAGTGAGTCCTTCCTTCTTATTAGGTGGCCAAAGTATTTGAGTCTCATCTTCAGGATCTGGCCTTCTAAAGAGCAATCAGGGTTGATCTCCTCTAGGACTGACTGGTTTGTTCGCCTTGCAGTCCAAGGGACTCACAGGAGTCTTCTCCAGCACCATAGTTCAAAGGCCTCAATTCTTTGGCGCTCAGCCTTTCTTATGGTCCAGCTTTCACAGCTATACCTTGCAACTGGGAAAACCATGGCCTTGACTATACGCACTTTTGTTGGCAGGGTGATGTCTCTGCTTTTTAGTATGCTGTCTAGATTTGCCATAGCTTTCCTCCCCAGGAACACCAAAGTTAAAGCTTCTTAATCTGCTCATTGGGGATGACAGACACAACTGCCCTAACCTCTGGAATGCAGTTTATTGAGAAAGGGTGTGATGGATTAAACAGTTGTGCTTGTCCTTGTTGATGAACACCATTTTTATAAGACAGGAAATGGACTCCATTTTGATCCCTTAGCCCAGGCCAATGAAAGAAATGAACACTTTCTTAGCTTCTTACCATCAATTATCTCTTCTTTTACTTTGTGTAATTCTTTTACAACTTCCTCCAATATTTCCTACAGAAAGAAAAACAGAAGGCAGTTGAAAAATGCTCTTCAACACTGTAAAGGCCCAAGCCCCTTAAAATGGTAAAAATAAAATTCTCCCAAATATTCCTGTAAATGTAATTTGAATTTCTACTTTTGCACTACACAAATAGAGTTAAAATGCACTATTCAGAAAAATGATCTACTGAAGTTAAGCAACCCTTAGGCTTACTTGAATTTCATAATAACAAACTGAAAAGTGAGTTCCTACGGAATTATTGTGGCATGGAATTGCCCATATGCATATGTCAAAAGCTGACGCTACAAACAGATGAATACTTCCGACACACAAACAGATTAATACTTCTTGGATTAGAAAGTAAGGGCCATCTGAGACAAACCTGGTTTATAAAGAGAACATATATTTTATTGTTGGGGGTGGGAAATGCCCTTCAAAATAGAAGACAATCTTGAATTTCATGCTGGCACCTGTTACTGCTTTCTCTTTTTGTAAATTTAATGCAGGGTCAGAGGGACACAGATCTTAGCAAATACTTTGCATGCAAAAAAATTCAGATTCAGTTCCTGCTCTCTCTTTGCCTGAAATCTGGAGAACGGGTATCAGTACTGAGTTAGATATACCAAGGATCTGACTTAAATATAAACCAGGTAGGTTATTTCAGGAATCTTAGCACTAAGATTGAGCGGCTGTGGTTTCCGACGTCCCGATATAGTCAGTTGACGCCATCGCTGACTTCCACCGGCCGGTACGCTCTCACAGAGAGGGACTCCTCCGGGTGCTGTCGGCCAAACAATGTTGGCTGGTGGGCCCCAGGGGGAGAGCCTTCTCTGTGGGGGCACCTACTATCTGGAACGAGCTTCCCCTTGAGATACGGAGGATCCCAGATCTACGCACCTTCCGCCGCGCTCTCAAGACCTTTTTATTTCACCAGGCTGGTCTGGCCTAACCTCTCCCATTCTCTTTTTAATGTAAATTTTAATGTAAATTTTAATTTGTTCTTAACCTGGGGTTTTAAATTTGTCTTGGGCTAAATTGATTTAGTTCAATTTTACTTCTGCTCTTAAATTTTTGTATTCTATGTGTTTTATCTTGTGCCTGTTCACCGCCCTGAGTCCTTCGGGAGTAGGGCGGTATATAAATCAAATAAAATGAAAAAAAATAAGGAATGAAAAATAAGGAATGGTTTGTTTATTAACGAGGTTGAGAGAATCAGAAAATAATTCTTACATCCACAACTTTTCTCATTTTATTGCCTTCGGAGGTCATGAAAATGATTCATTTCTTTGTGAAACAGACATTTCGTAGCCAATTCTGTCCGAATTATATAAACCAATGGCCCTCTGAAGAAACATAGTTTAGTGTTGGTAGAACAGCTCCAGGCTCCATTCTTGAATTTTCAGTTAAGCAAGCAGAAATACTGAACAAAATTGTCATTTTTCCTGGTTTGAACACCATTAATAAACATTTCCTCAATCAATATTCATCAAGGTATTCATTCCAACTCACTTGTTTCATACGATCAAAATCTAAAGTGTCCATTGCCACATCATTACTGCTGCTCGCTGGCTTCATCCTTCAGACAGAACAAAGAAAATAAGAGACAATTCCATGCTGTGTTCCACAGTATTGAGATGTTAATAATTCCTTATAAAATGGTATATAAAAGCAGGTGGAAGTTCACCATGCAGCTGAACAAAAGTTCATTGTTTGACATTCTATTTTCTGTATCACTTAATGGTTAGGTAATTTTGCTAAACAAGCAGCTTCAAACCCTACCCAGTATAAATCATTGAAATATCATTTTAGCTTTGAAAATGTCTTGGGAAGGGAGAAAGCAAACCAAATTATATTTGTGTACCGGAAGACTTTTTTTTTACCTGTAATGCTAATTCAAATAGTTTCCATGGCTATTTTACTTCATAAACTGTTATTGCAGTTAATTATTTACTAAATAGTGTTTGCAATGGCTTCATTGGCAGGATAACAGCTGGGTAACCTTTCAAAAATTTCTGTTCATTCTGCAAATCTATCCTTATTTTTCCTATTAATCATCTTCAACATCACCATCATGTGACAGTCACAGTATCACTACCACCAATATATATGTAAATTTATATACCGAAAAATCTATCATCGCTGAACAATGTCTCCTTTTTACTCAAGCCATTTTGGTCACAACTCATTTCAAAGCCTGAGCCATGGGGACATCATGTGGTCAACCCAAGCAATAAATCAGGAACCAGAAGAACTTTATATGACCTCTTTTTGTTTGATGTAATATGGGAAGCTGAATGATGATTACATGGTAATTACAGGAAAATTACAAGTGAAATGTCACTATCAATGGACTATTGGCATTTAAGGGTGGATGGGATTTGGACAGTATATAAAAGGTTATATGCAAATATCCATCTTTTATAGTCTTTCAAACCCAAATAATTCTGTCCCATCTTTTTGGTCAATATTCAAAGGCTATGCAATAGATCAGAAATAAAGTATTTATTAACACCCATTGCAGTTTATTTTTTTTTCCAATTGCAGAAAAGGCAATAAAAACAATTTTGTACAATTTATAATATTTTTTTCTAGCATACGTGTATGTATCCGCATATTTTTTTGCAAACGCTGGAGGCTGAACTAAGAACATCCAGCAAAATATTTCAGACTCGACATCTGGACTAACCAAATGGTTATAATGCTAAAATTATAATCAGATTTGGCTGAAATCTAAGAGGTACATGAATATATCGTTTAGTTTTGGGAAGGAACATAACTAAATTTCATTATATATTTTTACT